ATTTAGGTATTTTTTAATCACTTAATTATTATTTTTAATCGAATATTTCTGTTAATTAGGGGGATTGCTCATGGGGAGAAGAAGATTTTCACTTTTTTTCGAGTTATTTGGAGACCGAGGGAGGACAGGGGAATGGGGGTGGTCCCACTAGATGGCGGGGGAAATTTCCGATTCAAAACACTGGTCATGAACCCATTTTGCCCCATGCGTTAGAGCAACACCGAGTAAAACTTCTTTCAGAGTGAAAAATGATTTTTTAGGGGTTTTAAGATAAACCGTGGGGCAAAATGGGTTCATAACCAGGGTTTTGGATCGGAAATTTCCCTGATTGTGCGTAGAAAACATATCAATTCCGCTCAGACCAACAAGCGCTCTAAAAAAATAAATTTTCCCCTGGGATTGAACTAAAAATCTTGAAAACATCTGGTTATCTCAAAAAAAAATTTGTTTTCCCCCTAAAAATTGAGAAAATACACTGAAAACATTCTCTCGACCTGACACAACCCCTCGGGGATAAAAAACAACAGTGAAATTTCACAAAAACGATAGAAATTTCAAAGATGGTTCACAATTACTCAACTCCCAGCGTTTGATTACGATCACCTCTGCAGTTGGACCCCCGTCGCAGGTTACGTAAAAGTTGCAGTAGAAATCTCTCCCATAACAAAACTCCCAGCCTCAAACGTGAAAAAAAAATAGTGGAGGATAAATCGTACGATTCGCAGGAACAAAACGAGTGAAAAAAAAATAATAGGAAGAGCCGCGCATAACGGAGCGCATCATTTTATTAGGTATTCTATTATTCGAATAAAAAAAAAACGATAATAAATGTCTGACTTGACGGGACAATATAACGGAAGAGACTTCCTCGTTCTCTCTGCCCGTACACGCTCTCAACTTATGACACAACACGGTGAAGCTTGCCGTAGGAAAAGTAAGGTAAGGCCAGTGGTATAATAGAAACTTTCACTGCGGCCAGCGGTTCAATGTACCCAACGGGGCCTTAACTCTCACTGGATAACGTTTCACGAAGGTTTTTACTCAGTTTATGACGTGCAGATGGGATATTTTCACTATTGTTCGGGATGGTATCGATGAGATGGTCAGGTTTATGATGAAAACGAAATTTTTCGGCTGAAAATTAAACTGCGGATTTTAGATTTTTTTCTAATGATGAAACGATTTTCAAGATTTTTTTATTGCATATTTTCATCCGAAAATTGAACTAGGAATTTTTTATTTTTTTGTCAAGTGATTAAACGATTTTTAAGATTGTTTTATCGCCCATTTTTGCACAAAAATTGAACTTTGGATTTTAGATTTTTTTTTTCAAGTGTTGAAACCATTTTTAATATTTTTTTATAGTAGTTTTTTTATTTTCGTCCGAAAAAATTAACTTGAAATTTTAGAATGTTTTAAAAGAGTTCTGAAACGATATTTCAGAATTTCATAACGTTTTACGAAAGTTTTTACTCAGTTTATGACGTGCAGATGGGATATTTTCACTATTGTTCGGAATGGTATTGATGAGATGGTCAGGTTTATGATGAAAACGAAATTTTTCGGGTGAAAATTAAACTGCGGATTTTAGATTTTTTTTAATGATGAAACGATTTTCAAGATTTTTTTATTGCATATTTTCATCCGAAAATTGAACTATGAATTGTTTATTTTTTTGTCAAGCGATGAAACGATATTTCAAAATTTTATAACGTTTTACGAAGGTTTTTTCTGGATTTATGACGTGCGGATATGATATTGCCTTTATTGTTTCGGACGTGATCAACTTAACAGTTCTGTGACGAAAAATGAATTTTTCGTTTGAAAATTAAACATTGGATGTCCGAATTTAAAAATAATTGCTGATTGCTTAAAAAAATTTTATTATTCTTTGATACTTCTGTTTTATATAAAAATTTAGAGGTAAAGAACATGATGATTTGGTGAATCATGAAGATAAAAGTAATTCAAAGGCATTTATTCAGCATAATTTGGCATTTTAACAATAGGGGAGAATTACAAAATAGAATGGATGCTAATAATAGGAAAAATCGAACAGTGAAAAACCCTATATCTTGAATATTTCGGTGACACATCAACTACGGGCGAGGCTTGATGTTATTTATTAATGAATATGAATGATTTTTAAGATTCACTTCGAAATAGTCTGCAATGCGATTTATGAAGTAATGGATCATTTCTGTGTTGGATCTAATGTGGAGGGAGGAGATAGGGCTGCCATAGTAGGCATTATTAATAACACGGAGATATTTGTTTCGAGTAACTTGGAATTTGGCGATATGGGTGGGGGCTGCATTATGCCAGACAGGACAGCCATAGGTTATTACCGGCCTGACTGATGCCTTATAAAATTTGAGTTTAGCTTGTGTCGACAGGGATTTGTTTTGAAATAGGTAGTAGAGCCTAGCCATGATGGCTTTTGCTTTTTCATTCGCAATGTTAATGTGTGTGATACATAAGAGCTTTTTGTCAAGGGTAACTCCGAGGTATTTCGTCTTTCTTCGAAATGTTTATATCATTATTCTTCGATATTTGTGGCTTGTATAGACATTAAGAGGTAGAGCACATCAACAATTCGGATTTCTTCTCATCTGAAAAAATATCAAGACTCCAAAAGCTTAAAAATCAAAAGGCACATGGAAAAATAGTATATTTCGTTACGAGTGCGGAAAAGTGTTTTTTGGCTCGTGGGATTATATCACTCGCCTTACCCNTAACTCCGAGGTATTTCGTCTTTCTTCGAAATGTTTATATCATTATTCTTCGATATTTGTGGCTTGTATAGACATTAAGAGGTAGAGCACATCAACAATTCGGATTTCTTCTCATCTGAAAAAATATCAAGACTCCAAAAGCTTAAAAATCAAAAGGCACATGGAAAAATAGTATATTTCGTTACGAGTGCGGAAAAGTGTTTTTTGGCTCGTGGGATTATATCACTCGCCTTACCCTTCCCACGAGTATCGAACAATATTTTTCATCACAATGTGTGGAAAAGGGACGTTTTAGGCACGCGAAGCGTGCCTAAAAAGTTACTTTTTCGCACATTGTGATGAAAAAAAAAAATATCGAAGAAAATTGAAAAATCGTCATATTTCTTATCGAAAATTGTTCGTGCTATCAAATGGGGTCATTTTGACCCCCTCCCGTATTTCCTTTCACGATTCCTATTCACAATACCGCTTTGATAATAAAAAACGTGATTTCCGGTTCAAAAGACCGATTACGAACCCGTTTTACCCCTCCTCCCCTCATTAAAGTGCTCTAAAAACTGGAAATCTGACATTTTCGTTCTCCACTCAACAAAAAAATTAATTCAACACCTGGACAATCAATAAAACGCGGAGATTGTCAATAAAAATATCGTTAAACCGATAACGATCGGCGCTGTCTGATCATACCCAGACGTTTCTACTTTCCTCACTCGAAATGTTAAAAGTAAAAACAGAGGGAGCGTAATTAATGGAACGTAAACCTACGGACTGAAAGTAAATGCGGAAGTGTCCCACTGTTTCAATGGTAACGGCGAGTGGAAAAAAATAATCTAGATGAGCGTTGTAGAGCGTGAAAAGGGAGGGGAATCGGAGAAATGAGGAGGAAGAAAACATTGGGACTAGGATTGAGGGAAGAAGAGTGGAAATGCGGGGACTCAGATCCATCGGGAGATGGGTCTTGCAGCGTGGGAGAAACGACTTTCACCCATTCGCCGAGTGTCTTGTACTCCTGGGCTCTTGTGAATTGTTGATTGATGGTGTGAGAGATATTCTCATGGATGGGAATGATAGAAATTATGGGTAACAAAAGCTTGTGATTACGTGAAATCACAATTTGAATTATAAGAACACTGTTGCGATAAAAAAAAAAAACATTCATCATTTTTCATACGGGAAAATTTAATTGTTGATAATTGTTTAGGTGAACAAAAAAAATTTTTTTTTATAATTTTTTTCAACAGTTTTTCGAGCTTTTCCAAGTGCACAGTTTCGTGAGAAGAAATTTTTCTGAGAATTTCAGTTGTTGCAGACAACGAGATGATTAAAATAACGGTTTTTTGTTATGGGAATAAAATTGATGTTATTCTTCTGATAATAATTCATTTTTAGAAATGTTTTAATGATGCTTCAAAACAATATTTTAGGGGAAAAATGTTTGGTCAAGGTTATGATTTTTGACATCAATGAAAACAAGTTTTTTTATTGTTTATGTTGATGAGAAAAATTGGAATAAAATCGCGATTATGCATCTGATAATAATTGACTTTTATCAATGTTTGATGATTTTTAAGAGAAATGATTGAAAACATAAAATTTATGATGACGTGAAATAATTTGAATGACAATTCTAAGGAAGAAACAATGTTTTTGTTTTTTATTATTAAAATAAAAAAGTGTTGAAAATTGTTTAGAGGAAGAAAAAAAATTGAGCCATCTTTTATCCGATTTGTCGATCATTTTCAGGTGTAAAATTAAAAGAGAAAAGAACTTTCTGACCTTTCTTTCAATTTTTATGAATCACTAAAAATGGTCTATAAATGATGTTTTCACAAATTTAAAAAAATGTGATTTTTGTGCTGATAATAACGAGCTTTCATCAATTTTTTAATGATTTTTAAAAACTAAAGTCGGGTAGAAATAAAAATAATGAGTTTCTATTTTTGTAAGAAATAAATCTAAGAAATCAATTTTTGTTTGTTTATTTTCATGAAAAAAATTATAAAATAAACTACAATGATTGGACTGATAAAGATCGATATTTATTGTTTTCCAAGAGAAAAGATTGAGTTGAAAAAAAATTATTGACAATTTTCTGCCCCAGTGGAACTAAAATCATTATTTACCCATTTTTATGTCAATGTAAGAAATTCTCGACAGAATTTCCTAATTCTTGGTTCAACAATCAGTTTTTATAATTTTTTAAAATGATTTTTAAATCCTAAATTCACTCAGAAGCAAAAATTCGAAATTTCAATTTTCGGAATCAACAAATTAACAAAATTATTGACAATTTTCTGTCCCAATCGAACTAAAATCATTATTTGCTCATTTTTTATGTCAATGAAAGAAATTTTGAACAGAATTTCATAATTCTTGGTTCAACAATCAGTTTTTATAATTTTTTACAATGATTTTCAAATCCTAAATTCACTCAGAAGCAAAAATTCGAAATTTCAATTTTCGGAATCAACAAATTAACAAAATTATTGACAATTTTCTGTCCCAATCGAACTAAAAGCATCATTTGCTCATTTTTCATGTCAATGAAAGAAATTCTGGACAGAATTTCCTAATCCTCATTTCAACAATCAGTTTTTATAATTTTTGAAAATGATTTTTAATCCTAAATTCACCCAGAAAAAAAAATTGAAATTTCACTTTTTCTGATCAACAAATACGATTCATAAAAACGTTCCTCTCTTTGAAAGAGGTGATAAAAAAGTGTCTCCATGATTTTGAAATTAATTTTCAAGTCCAGTCCAAAATGTCCAGAAAATAAAAAAAACCTTTTCGTTTTCTCTGACAATTAATAAAAAAAATGTTGTAATAAAATCGTTGTAAAAATCATTAATAAATAATTTCCATTCGTCTCTCGAAATCGTTTTCCCAACTTGCAAAAAAAAAATATTCCCCAGGCAAAAAGTTCAGAAATGCCTGAAATAAAAGAGAAATCCTCAAACAAAACTAAAAAAAAGTAAAAAAAAAATGAGAGAAAAAGAGGAATGACTGAAAATTAAATGTGTGGACATTGGATGTACGTGTACTCGTGCTGGGTTTTGCTCGCTGGCTCTCGGCATGCATGCATTGGTTACGCAAGAATGGCGGCGTGTGTGAGACTGGTGACCCACATAACGCTAGGGAGCAAGGACCCCAACCAACTGCACTACGGTATATATAAGCTGTATTGCCCCGGCGTTTGCTTGACATGCGCTTATCCCGCTCGTGCGAATAAACACGACAAGACCCGAGGTGTACCGAGATGCTCCGACGAGACCCCACTCGCCCACGTGATAACCGAGAGCGACCCTTTCATGTTCACATTCATAATTTCATTTTCTTTTCTTCATTTTTTGTGCTATTGAATTTTTAAAGTGGAATTATCTCCGTTAAGAGTGAATTTGAAGGAAAATGTTACAAAATATTTTTTGTGGGGAATTTAATTCTCTACGAAAAAGTTCTTATGACTTTTTTTTGATAAGTTGATCATTGTCAAGATAATTGCGAAAGTAGAGGGCGAAGCGTTTTTACTTTTAGACGAAATTACTTGGCAGTTCTTAATTTTCGGTCGATTATCTCGATTATGAGTGAAATTAGGAGAAAATGTCACAAAATATTTTTTGTGGGGAATTTAATTCTCTACGAAAAAGTTCCAATGACTTTTTTCACAAAGTTGCTCGTTATCGAGATAATTACGAAATTAGATGGCGAAGATTTTTTGTTTTTGGAGAGAATTATTCAGAAACTTCTCAATCATTTTTTAATTATTTGGTAATGAGGGAATAGAAAAAAAAAATGCAAGAAGACATTTCCTGTGAGGAAATTAATACTCTAAAAAAAAAGTCTTGTAAAATTTCTTCTAAATAATCCACTTATTATTCAGACAATAACCAAATCAAGAATTAAATTTTTTTAAAATTAAAGTCATTTAGATAATTTTTAATTGGTCAGTTATCTCAATAACGACTGAGTCTAGGGAAAAATGTCAAAAGAAATTGTTTGTGAGAAATTTAATTCTCTACAAAAAATGTCCAACTACATTTCCTTCTAAACCCACTCATTATTGAGACAATGACCTAAAAACCAATGGCAGTCCTTCATGATTGATACGAGACGTTTAAACATTTATTAATTGTTCAATAACATCGTAATTGTTTAATGAAAGCAATATCGTCAACAACTAGGAAAATTGTTGATAAAAACACGGATTGCAATTTCATTTTGCCCCTAAACTGTTCAAAACACAAAACAAAATATTTTTCCTCCAATGACAACGCGTTTTTTAATTCCATAGCAACCACTGGGGTAAAATGCGCTCGAATCAACAGTTTCGAACCGGAAATTTCCGTGGCTTTCTATTTAAACTAGTTTCATCATCGTAGGAGTCGTGTTCCCCTCGAAAAATGTCTAGAAGATTTTATAAATAGATGAGTTGTGGAGCATTGGAGTTGAGAGAGGTTAAATAGAGTTCTACGATGCAATTGTACACTTTCAAAGTTGCATACAATGTTGGAGAGCAGATTCATAACTCTGTCAGCGGGAATACTAGTGTGGGGGAAAACATATTGGAGCGGAATATGAGAAACGTGTCGAGAGAAAAATGAAAAGTTCAATCGTATTTTTTCAATTTTTCGATAAAAAAAATCGATGGAAAAATCTCCCATCAATTAGTTTCCATCACTAGGGAATTTATTAAATTGGTGATCTGTAGATTGATGTAAATTCAATCATTTTAATTTTAAGGAAAAATTTTAGTAATTTTTCCTTGAATTTTTGTTGCAGGAATTATGACCCTTACGAGCAGCCCGTGTGAGCTAGACAACATGAGCTTGTTTCAAGACTTCAAGTTGAAAAGGAGAAAGGTCGACTCTCGATGTAGTAGCGACGGTAAGAATTATCATTGAGCAATTATTAGTATTTCGAAAATTTTTATTTCATCACTTGTCGATGAAAAAAAAAAAACAAAAAACCAAATTGACTTCTGGTGATAAAAAATTGGTACTCGAAATTAAGACTCCATAATTAAGGGTCACGAGGGTCAAAATAAGGCTCGTGAGGGTGGGAATAAGGGTCACGAGGTTCAGAATCAGGGTCATGGGGGTCAGAATAAGGGTCCCGAGGGTCAGATTAATAGTCACGAGGGTCAGAAAAAAGGTTACAAGGTTGAGAATCAGGGTCATGAGGGCCAGAATAAGGGTCCCGAGAGTCGGATTAAGGGCCGCAAGGCTCATATTAAGGATCATAAGATCAAAATAAGGGTCACAGAAGTCATACAAGGGTCATGAGGTTTAGAATAAGGGTCACAGGGGTCAGATTAAGGGTCATAAGGGTTGAAATAAGGTTTGCGGGAGAATAAGGGTCACGAGACTCAGAATCAGGATCATGGGGGTCAGAATAAGGGTCCCGAGGGTCAGATTAATAGTCACAAGGGTCAGAAAAAGGGTTACAAGATTCAGAATCAGGGTCATGAGGGTCAGAATAAGGGTCCCGAGAGTCGGATTAAGGGTCGTAAGGCTCATATTAAGGATCATAAGATCAAAATAAGGGTCACAGAAGTCAGACTAAGGGTCATGCGGTTTAGAATAAGGGTCACGAGGTTCCGATTAAGGGTCACAGGGGTCAGATTAAGGGTCATATGGGTCAGATTAAGGGTCACAAGGGTCTGATTAAGGGTAAAAAATGTGAGAATAAGGATTATGGGGGTCATACGGGGGTTGGCGAGCGGTGGCGTAGCCTCCTAATTTTCAACAAAATTGTACTCCTCATCCATATCACAATAAAAATGACGGAAAATTCAATTGAATCGCTGTCACTGGAATATCAACGATCTCCTAAAACACAAAACTCCAATTTTCCAAATCTCCAAGACGAATAAGATATTCTATAAATGATTTCAATACTCAAATACAGCTATTACCTAAATTAAGCAAAAAATCCAAACGTAAAACCTCTCCCCCACCCCCCTCTCCCCCCGCCGTCCCCGCGCAACCAACCCTAAACATCACAAAGACCAAATCCCTCGATGACTGAATTCACCGTGAAACCCCAGAACACAGGTTGACCTTTACTGACACAAGGGGCGCCAGAGTCAAGTGGAGTGAGTTCCGGTATTCCCCTTTTTCATTCGTTGATATCCGAACAATTGCGGTGGAAGAGCAGCGAGGGGGAGGGGGCGAAGTTGCAGGGTTAACGGAGACACGAGGTACGGCGTGGGCTTTAACCCAGGAGGGGAATTCAACTGCCCACGCTTTACCCGGTCGCACTAGCTGCAGCCTCGACGTGCACGGGGTAGTTTGCCAACATCGCGAGTCGTGTCGAGACGTCATTCATTCAAAAATTGTTTGGCAGCTCAAGAAAATCAAAATAGCACCAAAAAAAAGTTTCCCACCACTCAAAAAATTACTTTCTCATTGCGAAAAATGTTTTTGACATTTATTTTAAATCCTAAACTGATAGTTTTGAAGAACTGAGTGAAAGAAAAAGGACTAATTTCTTTTTATATTTCTCTAAACATAAAATTGGAATAAAAAAAAATTGAGATTATGTTTTTTATGAATTTTTATAATTATGAATACATTAAATTTTTGCTAGAATTGAAAGAAAAAAATTGTGAAAAAAGTGAAAAATCAAAATAATCTGAAAAAAAATTAGAATCGTAGCTGGAAATCATTGATCTCTAACGTTGGGGTACCACGTGAACATTCAACAACTCGTCAACAGACCCCCAACGCGCAGCTGCACCCCTGCACTTCGCCCCATTCACATTCTCATTAATTGGAGATAAAAAAAAATTGAAAGGAAAAAATTCTCATCGGCCTCGTCGAGTGGAAAAAAACCGTTGAGAATCATGAATTTCAATGACCTGTTGTGTGACCCATACGTCTACCCTTATCACTGTTACCTCGAGCCACTGGCAATGGCCTATGAGAATTATTACACATCAAATCCGTATTTGCGGATGGAGTATCCGATGAACTCATGCATGTGGTGGCGGGGAGGGACCTATAACTGGACGGGAAAATGTTTCAACCCTTTTGATGGTAAACAATGGAGAATTGATGTGTCAAATACGATTAGTGAACAATTGTCAGTAATTATGTGCGAATTTGGAAAATGAGTGAACCGAATTATGAGTCAAAATTGGAGGAAAATTGCGCTGGTCATGAGTTCGTTTTGCCCCTGCAATTTTTTTCGCAATTTGGAAAACATTTTTTTTTACTCAAAAAACATTTCTTCTTGCATTAAAAAAAAATACGGGGCAAAATGGGTTTAAAACCAGTGTTTTAAATCGAGAATGTATCCGGGCGTATGATGATTCCACCCCGACTTCTCAATTTCCCAAATTTATCAGTCAAAACTAATTTTTTTTCAATTTCTAATTTTTCATAAAATGGGAAAATGTAGAAAAGTCCTTATTAATTGGACTATAATTCAAGTTTAAAATCAAATCCAAGTTTAAATCCCGCCATCAAAAAGCTGATGAAATTTCCGGTTCAGAACCCTGGTCATAAGCCCATTTTACCCCTATAATTCTTCCATAATTAGAAAAAAAAATCGCATAAAAACCCATTTTCCGCATTATCTTAAAAAATAAGAAAATAAAATGGGTGCCCGACCAGTGTTCTAACCCGGAAATATCCCGGCTCTCCGCCTGCCCCCAACCACAACCAATCAGACACTACAAAAAACCGTAAAATCAGAAAAAAAAACCCTATAAATTGCTTCCCAGACTCGCCAGTATCATTCGGATCAGCAGGCTCACCATCAGGGATCCAGGCATCGGACGCGCCCTCACCCATAACATTTCCTGCTTCAGGGGATAGCATAGCAGACACATCAACATCCCCGGATGTGCCAACGATGCCAGGTTCCTCAGGCTGTACAGTGGTAAAAGTAAAGAGTGAATTCCTACGAGGTAGTCCAAGTCCAGTTGGCCGTCAACTAAGTCACCATCCTCAAGAGAGTAGAGGAGAGACAGCATCACCAGACTCAGTGTTCCCCGAGCCTTCCCAACGTGACATAATGTCGACAAGGATAAGCGATGAGAGTAGATCGTTCACACCAGCGCCAACGAGTCCCGAGCACTCGGCGGTATCAACAACCCCAGCCCACGACCAATCAAGAAGTCGATGTGGCAGTCCAGAGAGATCAGATCTATCCTCAGGCCAAGCGAAACTAGAATCCGACAATTCCGTCTTCGACGGCGGTGGAGGCGATGAAAGACGTGATATCACCAGTCAGCCAAGCCCATCATCACAGTACAACATCAATCAGGCACACAGTCCAAGTAGCAATTCATCACACAGTAGCAATCAACAACCCCCAACACCACCAAGATCCAGAGCACCATCAGTACCTGCTCATCTACTTGCCCACCATCAGTTCTGGTCAAATTCACAGGGTTTCGCTGCGCAGAGATTACTCAACGGAGTAATCAGCAGTGCCGTTGGATACGGACAGAACATGGGAGGCAATGGGGGTAACGGAAGCAATGGCAGTAATAATCAGGGGAATGGTGGAAGTATGTCCAGTGGTAGTACTGCATCTGCTTCGCCATCAAGTAAGTCTTAATCTAAGGAAACTAGTTATGCCTACCAAATACTGATTGACGCCCGCGACAAAGTAGCTTCCTACGACTCTGTAATAAGATTTTCCAAAAATTTCCGCAGCAAATATTGTCCTAGATCGACACCTTCCTAACAAACGAGCGTTCGCAGTATGGATTACTCATGCTGACGCGCTCGTCTGTTATCAATCCGTCGACATGTGGTTTCGTAGAAATGATAAAACAGCCCAACAGCGATGATTGGACTCTTTCAGCAATTCATATTCTTCCTCTAGGTGAAGGAATGAAGCCTCCGGCCCAACGAGCGGCGCCTTCGGCCCCCAGACCGCCTCCCACAGTGATAATGGGTGAGGTGGGTGGTGTCAGGACCATGATATGGTCAGCACCAGCAATGGAGCCAGTTCCCCCGCCCGCTGCATCCTGGACGACGACAGCGTCTTCAGCCTCCTGCTCCTCGTCCGAGGAATCAGCAGCGCAACTGCTGCTGAACCTCGGACAGGAGTCCAGGGGGAAGCCCCCCTGTGTCTCCTACGCGTCAGGTCCTCCCTTGAACATGGAGAGACTCTGGGCGGGGGATCTGAGTCAACTGCCTGCTGCTCAGCAGATGCAGGCGCTGAATCTTACTGCTTCGGGGTCAAGTCCAAATCAGCCTTGGGTGAGGAATGGTGGAGCTGTCAAGTCTGAAGCTTCCTCGCAGTCGTTACAGCCTATAGCACCCACTCCACCCTCCATACCACTGCAGGAGCATGAGGAGGACGAGACACCCATGATATGCATGATCTGTGAGGACAAGGCCACTGGACTTCATTATGGGATCATCACGTGTGAAGGGTAAGTTTCAATCATTATTGGGAAAGGAAAGTTCTTCAGGATGGATATCTTCGCAGGTGCAAAGGCTTCTTCAAAAGGACAGTGCAAAACCGAAGGGTGTACACGTGTGTGGCTGATGGTGTTTGTGAGATAACGAAAGCCCAGAGGAATAGGTGTCAGTATTGCCGGTTTAAGAAGTGTATAGAACAGGGTATGGTGCTTCAGGCTGTACGGGAGGATCGTATGCCCGGTGGCAGGAACTCCGGGGCGGTTTACAACCTCTACAAAGTGAGTAGATTGATTATGGTCAATTTTGGTCATTGAATCTGGTTTTGTATATGCTTTGACAGAGCAGTTTTTTGGAGTTTTGGATTGAAAATTTTAGTGATTGTCCACTAACATCGACCCCATAATGTCCGTTTTTATCGCCGAGGGCATTAATTCAAAGTTCAAAAAATGGCTTTCAGATACAAGCGAAAACGGTTTGATAATACAACTTTCTTTATATTTCTTTAATATATATTCGACTCTTCCTAGTAGAAAGCATTAATCCAAAGTTTACCATAAACTTGCTCTCAAATACAAACGGAAACGTTTTCGTACCAAAACTTTTTCTTGAAAATCTTCCGAAATAATGTGACAAAATGGACTCAAAACCAGTGTTTTGCATCGGAAATTTTCCTAATTATTCATCAGAGTCAATGCCGACTCCACAATATTCTTCTGTTTTCCTAATAGCAGACATTAATCCAAAGTTTACCATAAACTTGCTCTCAAATACAAACAGAAACGTTTTCATACCAAAACATTCTCTTGAAAATCTTTGAAATAATGTGACAAAATGGACTCAAAACGCGGGTTTTACATCGTAAATTTCCCGGCCTATCCACTGGGGTCAATACCGATCCCACAACATCACCGCGTTTTGGTACTTCTTCATTTTAACAAGATGTTTCAAAAATCAGGTAAAATACAAGAAGCACAAAAAGGCGAATAAGGCGAATGTGGGTGGTGGCAATGCTGGGGGTGGTGTTAATGGATCCGGACAACTCGGGGGTAACAAGGGTACGGCTGTGGCGACGACGATGCTGGACAAGCACATGGCGGCGGCAGCAGCAGCGGCCGCCGCTGCTGCCCACCACAATCAGCAACAGCACACACCAATGGGGGGATCATTCCTCCATCACCATAAGATCTCAGCGGATCCTCATAACACACAGCCCACACCCAGTCACCCCAGTCATCCCTCCCACACCGGCCACCTCGTTAATGGAACGATACTCAAGACAGCACTTACGAATCCGTCAGAGGTGAGTGAACAAATTTAAAATCTATATTTTTGCTTCCGAATGGAAGTATTGTCGTCAAATCTGAAATTTCCATTTTTCTGGGTGACGATGACTAATTTTGGTCTCAGGAGTTCGAATATGCTGTTTTTAGATCATGTCCGTATGTATGTATGTATGTGAGCTTTTTTTCAATTTTAGTTTTTCGACGATCTTTCAAAAAATAATCGTTGAAATTTTTTAATTATGGCTAAAAATATTCGTTTGGATGTTATCACGGTCAAGTTCGAAGATAGTGCTGATTGCATCATTTGCTTTTAAATTATAGCCTTAAAAAGCATTTAATCGAGATTTAAACAGGGTTCAATCGGGATTGAGCCGCGGTTTAGTCGTAGTTTAGTCAGGGTTTAGTCGAGATTTAGTCGGAGTTGAGCCAGGGTTTCGTCGAGATTTAGTCGGAGTTTAGTCAGGGTTTAGTCGGAGTTTAGCCAGGGTTTAGTCGGAGTTTAGTCAGGGTTTAGTCGGAAGTAAATCAGCGTTTAACTAGGTTTTCGTCAAGGTTTAATCAATGCCCAGTGGAGGTTTAAACCAGTTGAATTTCAATTCAATCGGCGTCTGTTAGATGTTAAACCAGGGCATATGGAGCTCATGTTAGACATTTGGCTCATTTAGGGATCATATTAAGATTTCATGGCATGGTATATCTTCTTCCCCAATTTACCATTCAGAAGCAAATTGCTAATTCATTAGAAAAAAATTACACTGGCCCAGTTCAAGGAAAACTATTCAGGAGAAAAATAAAATTTAAATAATTTACATACGACCGAGACATCAACATTGATGTGTCAGAAGCATGAACTCTTGTGATAGCAAATTTTACATTCAATTTGTTTTCCCTCAATCTGTCTACTTCAAATTAATTTCAGTTCACAAAAAAATTTCATCTCAAATTGTCTTTAAAAAAAACTATTGAATTCTCCTGAGGTTAAACATTAGGAAGGATTCCTACTAAACTGAAATTAATGACAGAAAACCGAATATGCACTTTTTTGTTTTAATTCAATTAATCCATTCGCAAGCAAATTGCTAATTTTCGTCAAGATAACTATACTTGATTTAGACCTGTGCAATGGGCCACTTGTTAAAGAATTCCTTTTGTTCTGGATTTCCGTTGTCATGGGAAAAATAACTTGGCGTTGTTTTTTGTTTGAAAAACTCCATAAATTTCATGCAACTCTTGTTATTATATTTGTTCTTTGATTTTTCTTACCCACAACGAGTTGCACAATCACGTCAAGGTTTCCCACATTACGAAATACGATAGACGGAACGCCTGAGACTCGTTTCCAGCCGTTTGTTTGATATTTTCCCCCTGCAGTCAGTACAAAATCATCATTTTTTTTATTCATTCCAAAATAAACGAGAGTGAATGAATCAGAGAGGGGGGCGAATGAGATATTTAAGAGTCACTCTGTTGGTGTTCTCATGTCCTCACGTAGAGGCCATTGCCAAAAGTGAAACTTGGTTTTTTTAAAAGAGGTCAACTTTCCATTGTGTCATCAACTTCCCTCTTCTTTCATTCAACAACAAACAAAATCGTTTCATTTAACGATTCGAAGATTTTATCGATACAATCGTATTGTTTAGAGAGGTGTTGTTAACAAACTTCGCTTTTTGTTTCTTTTCAAATGTGTGAGTCGGAATTTTTTAGTTGATCAAGGAGAAAAGTTCTAGTGGTTTGGAACAAATTGCAGAAAATTAAATTTGAAACATGAACACAAGCGGCATATGAGTAAAATCAGCCAGCAAGAATCATACAGAATTAAAATGAAAATAAACAACATGAAGGGAAACAAGCCAAAAGTACTAACGCAGTGCATAATTCTCTAAAAAGACAGAGACAGTCCTCATCGAGAAGACTTCAAGTTATCTGAACTCAATCTGAATCTTTCTTCAATGACTCCAGGCAGATGCCCATCGTATCCAACTCGAGAAAAAATTCACTAAAACATTGTTACAATAATACCATAAACTACACCCAAGTCTTGAACCCAAATGGCCCATAAATTCCAGCAACTCGAAGCGATGAAAAATCAGCGAGCATAATCACAAATAAATCAGACTTAAAACGTGAACACAAGGGACATATGACTAAAATCAGCCAGCAGGAATCATACAGAATTAAAATGAAAATAAACAACATGAAGGGAAACAAGCCAAAAGTACTAACGCAGTGCATAATTCTCTAAAAAGACAGAGACAGTCCTCATCGAGAAGACTTCAAGTTATCTGAACTCAATCTGAATCCTTCTTCAATGACTCCAGGCAGATGCCCATCGTATCCAACTCGAGAAAAAATTCACTAAAACATTGTTACAATAATACCATAAACTACACTCAAGTCTTGAACCCAAATGGCCCATAAATTCCAGCGACTCGAAGCGATGAAAAATCAGCGAGCATAATCACAAATAAATCAGACTTAAAACGTGAACACAAGGGACATATGAGTAAATTCAGTCAGCAGGAATCATACAGAATTAAAATGAAAATAAACAACATGAAGGGAAACAAGCCAAAAGTACTAACGCAGTGCATAATTCTCTAAAAAGACAGAGACAGTCCTCATCGAGAAGACTTCAAGTTATCTGAACTCAATCTGAATCCGTCTTCAATGACTCCAGGCAGATGCCCATCGTATCCAACTCGAGAAAAAATTCACTAAAACATTGTTACAATAATACCATAAACTACACTCAAGTCTTGAACCCAAATGGCCCATAAATTCCAGCGACTCGAAGCGATGAAAAATCAGCGAGCATAATCACAAATAAATCAAACTTGAAACGTGAACACAAGGGACATATGACTAAAATCAGCCAGCAAGACTCATGCAAAATAGACCTAATAACTTAATGAAACAAATAATATAATAATAAAATAGTAATAACTAAAATAATAATAATAATAAATAATAATATAATAATAATAGAACTAATACAGCAGTCTATAAGTCCCTGACACCCGACATTATAATCTTCCCCAAATACCCAAGAATTTCCCCAAAAAATATCCCTATTTCATGCACCTCATCATCTCAAAACTGCATCCAAGAAAATAGCCACAAGACCTCCTGATGCTGTGGCCTCATGAAATACTCCAGGGACAATAGAAAATCCAGCGTCAACCGGTGCCAAGGACGGGCAGTTCCCGTAGTTCTTTCGTAACGTCGTGAAAGTCTACAAGGGACACTGACCTCCTCCACCACCCTCTCCCACCCCCCCTATAACTGTCTCAGTCACTCCTCCATAGCCTCGTGAATGTGTTCACTCGTGACTAGTGAATAAAAATTTTTCTTCATCCTACCTCAGCACATCTAAAAGTGAGTGAGTCCACAGCTTTCCCTGCAAATGTTTTTCTCTCTCGTCGATTCGTTCGTCTCTGTCTCTTTTGATACACCGAACAAGTCCCACACGTTCATTGCCTGACCTCGAGGTACCAGAAAACTTTAAAAGGTCAGTGAAAGGCCTCGATTGATTCGACGTAGGAAGTCGTTGGATTTTTTTCCCCCTTTCTGTTTTGGTTGTGGAGGGATTAAATCGGTAGGTTTATCTCTAATTTTCTCTTTCTCCCTTTTCATCCGGTTAGAACAGTCGAGGTTTATTGGTTGTGAAATATTGATGCTGTTGGCTAGAACTTTCACCGGTCCCTTTTGTCTGGGCTTTTGATCTTGCGATTTTGCGAGGACTATTCGAGATTATAGGGAAGCGATTAGGTTTAAGAGGCCCTGGGAGTAAAGAAAATCTACTAAAATGCGGGAAAAACTTTGCGCCATGAATTTTCAGCCAAAAGAGGATGGAAAAATCTGAAAGATGGCTTGAAAGATTTGTTCCTCTCGTAAAAACTGGATAGAGGAAGTTGAAGGTGATTTGAAGAAGATGACGAGTTCGAAAAATTGTTTGAAAATGCGAGGTGGAGCGCTGCCATCTTTAAAGACCCTTCCGGAAGAGGATGGAGGTATCCAAGCAAAGCAACGGCACCCACACTTGGCAAACATTGCTTTTCCTCTTTAGATCACACTCATCTCATTTCATTCAGAATTTGTCTTTCTCTTTGTTTTGGTTGTGGAGGAATTAAATCGGTAGGTTTATCTCTAATTTTCTCTTTCTCCCTTTTCATCTGGTGAGAACAGTCGAGGTTTATTGGTTGTGAAATATTGATGCGGTTGGCGGTTGCTCGAACTTTCACCTCTCCCTTTTTTCTGAGGCTTTTGATCTTGCGATGTTGTGAGGACTATTCGAGATCATAAGGAATCGATTGGGTTTAAGAGGCCCTGGGAGTAAAGAAAATCTACTAAAATGCGGGGAAAACTTTGCGCCATGAATTTTCAGCCAAAAGAGGATGGAAAAATCTGAAAGA